AAACCTTTTTTTAACTTTAATTTAAAATAAAAATCTAATATGCTATATATAAATGTTAACTAAAATTTTTTTATAAAATGAAATTACTCAATAAAATTATAATAAAAAATTTTCAATTGGTTAAATTTTTATCTAAATTATTATTTAAAAATTTAAAAATAAAATAAAATAGCTAAAATTCAACGAAAGGAGTATTCATTTTCAAGGGCGTGGATCTTGACCTGAAATCAATTCAATATGTCCAAACTAAAAGAAGAAGAAAAAAATTCTAACCCACTCACGTACGCAACAGCACGTCAACACTTTCCACCCAATTTGCTCGCGCGAGTCCTCTGTTATAATAATATATAATCAAAAGCTGAGAAGCAATATAAGAAGAATTATTATTTAAAAAATTAAAAAATAATAATAATACAGCTAAAATTCAACGAGAGGAGTATTCATTTTCAAGGAGATGCAACTTGACCTGTAATCAATTCAATTGTCCAAACTAAAAAAAAAAAAAAAATTCTAACCCACTCACCTAGTACGCAACGGCACTTCAACACTTTCCAATCAATTTGCTCGCGTGAGTCCTCTCTTATAATAATAAATAATCAAAAGGTGAGAAACAATATAAGAATTGGCTGAACATCAAATCCACAAATACACCAACATAATTACATTGCATTGCTTCTTCAGATTGTAAGGCAAGAAAAATGGGTGTATATTCGTTGTATTTTGCGGCTTTGCTTCTCATCAGTGGGATGCTTCTTATGATTGAGGCAGATGTTCACTACTATGACTTTGTTGTAAGCAAAACTCCCTTCCCCAAAATTTTCTCCCCTAAGTTCTTCTTTCTTCTCCTCTTTCTCCCTCGTATGGTAAAGATCCCAACGCAATGCATTAAAAGTTGGATCACAGAAACATATTTACTCTTGCACTGCATAGATCTCAAAACTCAGGATTACTAGAGATAAAAAACCATGCTCTAACAATTTCTCTTGCACATATAGGAATGCACCATTATTAATTATGGTAAATGTATAATACTTGTTTCCTTGATTATTTGCGAGCTCAGTTGAAGGAGACAAACTTTACAAAGCTATGCAGCACAAAAAGCATGTTGGTGGTGAATGAGAGTTTTCCGGGACCAGTGATTCGTGCTCACAAGGGAGATACTCTGTATGTTAATGTTCATAATCAAGGGAATTACGGTCTCACCATTCACTGGTAAGAGCTCTTTTCCCTTTTCCTCCATCCCCTTTTTTAGCTTGATTCTTCTGTTTACTAGATTAGGCGAATGCCAGGAAACAAAAAAAGCAACTGAATGGCGGGTGTGGTTTTGACCACAAACTTATTTGCTGTGGTTACTAGAACTGGGTTTTTTTTTTTTTTTTTTCTTTTTGGTAGTGCAATAACGGGCAACCTTCCGTTATCCTTTATATAACTCCCTCCACATGCTGAGCAATTAAAATTTAAAATATCTTAATTTTAAGAGAAGGGGATTATCACTGACTTACTAAAAATGTATTAAAAAATATTAATTTTGTTTAACAAATAATTAATAATTGATAAAATAATTAATGTTTATTATTTAATAAACTGAAATTAGTTTATAGCTAATATTCTTAGAAATGATAACTATTTATTTAAGCAAAAAATTATAAATGTCAATCAAATTAAATACAATTTTGGTGGTCTAAACAAATGAATTGGAAGTCATAACCTCTAAATGGCACAAGATAATTAAAACTTAATACAAAGAGTATGGTGTTTTATAGTTTAGATTGTAAAACAAAAACTTTTACCTAGAAAAAGATTTTAATATCAAGAGGCTCATCTTTTATCCAAGGGCTAATATTTTACGAAATTAATTATAAAATATCACATTAGTTTATACAAGATAATGTAAAAAAAATTGTACATCTATCATATTCGTATTCCTATTATGAAAAGCTATTTTACAGTCATTTTAATTTATTCAAGGGGTTACACTTGAATTAGTATGCATATATTACTTATTTAGGTTTTATTTGGAATTGTTGTTATTATGTTTTTTCACAATTTAAAAAATATCTAGAATATTAAATGAAATGGTCGAATATTCAGTCATTTCCTTAAAGTTCTCTTTTTTTAAAAACAAAAATTTGGGTTGCACAATAAAAAATAATTTTTTCTCATTTTTTCTCATTTTTTAACTTGCATCCCACACAAATGTCATGTGACTTCAAATTGGAATCTTTTACTTTTATTAAAAAGAAACTGTCACTGAACTAATTAAGTTGTTGGTAAGATGTTTTTGATGGATTACTTGAAACAACAATGAACTTGTGTACGTAGTTCGATGTATAAAGTTTTTGTAAACACCTCAAAGATAAAATAAAGAAACCCAAGTCAACACATAGTAAATTATATCATGATAATTTTCCAGGCATGGAGTGAAGCAACCAAGGAATCCGTGGTCAGATGGCACTGTTTTCGTTACACAATGTCCAATTCAACCAGGCACAAATTTCACCTATGAGGTTATCTTTTCTGATGAAGAAGGGACCCTTTGGTGGCATGCTCACAGCAATTTTACCCGTCAAAGTGTTCATGGAGCAATTATAATTTATCCTGCCAAAGGAACCACATATCCCTTTCCCGAACCTGATGGAGAAGAGGTCTTAGTGCTTGGTATAATATCAAAAAGTTTTATACTTTAGCGTCAAGTCCAAGTCTTTTGTAGATTTATGCATTCTAATCTGTCTTTTCTATGGTGCACTTGCAGGAGATTGGTATACAGTTGATGTTAATCGTGTCATTAATGAGGAGTTGAGTGAGGGAGGCTTCTCAACACATGAACCCGATTCTTTCGTCATCAATGGTGAACCTGGAGACTTTTGGGATTGTTCAAAGGGTATATCTTATGACTAAACTTTTTGGCTCCAATACATGCTAAGAGAAAGGTCAATTCCAAGTCTTAAAAAGATTTGATTGTTTAAACTAACAAGTCATTTTATGTTGCAGAAACAATACATCGCTTTTTAGTTGATTATGGGAAGACCTATTTGCTACGTTTTGTAAATGTCCCCATTGATGAGTCCACATACTTTGCAATTGCTGGACATAATCTTACAGTTGTTGGAATTGATGGTGCCTACGTTAAGCCTATACTCTCAAGCTTTATAATGATGGCTCCAGGACAAACCATGGACGTCTTGCTCAAAGCAAACCAATCTCTTGGTGAATATTACATGGCTACTAGAAATTACTTTTCTACCACCCTTCGTTCAGTGAACTTCATTCAAATAAATGCTACTGCTATTCTACAATACAGAGGCAACTACAATACTTCGTTAGCTCCTTTATACCCGAGGGATACTCTTCCTTATACCATTGACTACAAAACTGGAATAAATTTTACTTCAAAATTTCGAAGTTTAGCGAGCAAGGAGCATCCGGTTGATGTGCCTAAGAATGTAACCACTAGAATGTTTGTGACAGTTTCTTTGAATGAAAATAGTAAAGACTTTTTTCTATACTTAGCTGCAAGCTTAAACAACGTTACATGGGTTGATCCTGATGTAAGTGCACTGGAAGCCTACTACTGGTACGTATTAATTATAAACGTTATGTTTTTTAGATAATTTAAATAGTTTTTGAATTGCTTAATTGTTGATTGGGTTTCATTGCAGGAACATGACTGGGTATTACACTACAGATTTTCCCGACGAGCCACCAACATATTTCAATTTCTTAGAAAAATATTTGGGGCTTAATGTCTCACAGTCCTTGATGGCAACAAAGGTTAAGGTGCTTGAATACAATGAGGAGGTTGAAGTAGTTTTTCAGTCCACAAATGTGTTCAATTTATCACAAAATCATCCAATGCATCTGCACGGAAATAGCTTTTACGTAGTGGCAATGGGTGAAGGGATTTTTGATAAAGATAAGGATCCAAAAGGATACAATCTTGTTGATCCACCGTATCAAAATAATGCTATAGTTCCAAAGTCTGGATGGTTTGCGCTTAGATTCAGAGCAAGTAATCCTGGTATGTTCTATAACATGACACTTAATGTAAGGTTCTTTTCCCTTCTTGGCTCCATTGATTCTTTGTTATTAACATTGTTAGATGTTGGCATTGTTGACAGGAGTATGGTTTATGCATTGTCACATTGAACATCACTACACATTTGGAATGAACACAGTTTTCATTGTGAAAAATGGTAACACTCCTGAGACAAGTTTGCGAGACCCTCCTACAAGTTTTCCTTCCTGTAGAACTTCATCAACTCATGGAATTCAAAAATCTAGAAGTTCAACTGAAAATTCTATTAAATTAAGCACGATTTGATAGGGATGTTTGATGTAATGACTAAACCAGTGCCTTTACTAGCTTAAATTTGTTTTGTCTTTTGAATAAGATGCAATGGATCATATTTAGTAGATGTTTCATAATCTGTTTTTCCGCTCTAAGTGTAGATCCATTTTATTGATATGATTAGGAAGAGTGATGTTATAATAACCTATCCTTAATTGCTTTAAAATAGAATCATAGTCTTTAATTATCAAGGACCTAAGTGAAGAAAACTAAATTGAGCTTTGCATTGTCAACTTCAGCAAAGCTTGTGGAACTTCATATGAAAGAGAAAAGAACAGCAGTTCACTCTCCTAATCCTAACTGAACCAGAAATTAGGTAGCCACGTTCAGGTTCTAATTATTTGGTGTGGTAATTAGTTGGAAGAGAAGTGCAGACAGCATTACTTTTAATTATTAATGGAGGGTAGACTCCTAATATTAGGAGGCTCATTCCTCCTTTAATAGTTATAAATGTAGAATTTAATTTTTTATAGCTGAAATACCCATTATACTCAATTAATTATGTATATATTTTATTTGCCATTAAAAAAAGGGTTTATCTCTAATGACACAAGTTAAAGGTATATTAAATATGCATTTTTATCATAAATTTGTATTGAAACAATAAAAATCAATATTTAATTTATCAATTGTCCAATTAAATTCACTTGACACTAAAGTTAATATCAATTTTTATATTTTTATATGCATGTTTATAATAAAAAGGTGTATTTAATATACCTTTAACATATATATATATTAAGGATACAAATTAAAAAAGTTCCTAAAAGACTATAAGGATATTGGTTTTTGAGGTAGTGAGACTGTCTCATAAGAATGGGGTTTTTTTTTTTTTGTGCTGATCTAACAGGAATGTGAATAGTTCATATATGTCTCAAAATAAGTGTAGCTTTTTAATTTTAAATTTCTCTTAAATTAAATTTTTTTATTTTTGTAATAGATAAATATTTTTTTACTTTAATTCTTTCATTATTTATTTATTTATCTTATTACAAAATGTATCTTTATTTGTTACTTTTATTTCAAAGAATAATATAGGTAAAGTTAAACCTCAAATTTAATCCCTCAACTATTGGTGGACCCTTTAATTTAGTCCCTAAACTTAAAAAATACTTATTTTGGTCTTTAAAGTTTATTTATTTCTTGGGCTCCTTTTTTGGTTCCTTCGTTA